TTTTTTACTCGCTTTAGACCTTGAATAAAATAATTGACCTATACCAAAAAATATATCTTAAACTAGAAGATCTGCCGATTATTATGCTTTTTTAGAATTAAACTCTGTTCAGTAGTTTTTAAGAAAAAAAATTCCAAAAGTTTGTCGATTTTGTCACTTTTTTCACATTAAATTGTAAATATCTCGGAAACGAAGCATTTTTCGAATTTTTGTCAAAGGACAAAAAGTGTTCATTTTGGTCCATTTTACAAGAAAAAAATGTTTTCAAAGGCATTCGGCGTGTATTTTTTTTTTACAACTTTTTTGTTTATAACAATTGACTGAGCACACGGAAAAATATTTAAAAAATATGTAAATTATCAGAAAAATACACTTTATAAAATAAAAAAAGTTCCATGCTGTAGGTCTCTGTTTTTAAAAATTTAGTTGGTTACCTTTTTTAGGGGTGAACCGCTCGCCTATAATGCCCTCCTTTAGTGTTTATCAGATCATTGGGTTTCTTAAAAATTGCCCTTCATTATACAAATTGGTTGGTTTTTTAACGATAACTTCCTTAATTTTAAAGCTATTAAGACAATCCAAAAACTATTTTACGGAAAATTTCGCCAGCTAAAAGTACTGCAAAATTGAATATTTTTTAACTCGTTATTTATGAGATTTTTGAGGTTAAAGGGTTTGGAACACATGACCTTCGCCCTCAACTGCAAACTTCTAGCAGCGGCATCTCTGTTAATTTTTATCCTACACAAATAAAAAAAAAAACAAAATATTCTGTGGAAAAAAATCTAAACTTTTGTACTCTTGAATATTTTTTGTAACTCTTTTATTTTTAAAGTAGTTTCAAAAATATGTAATTTTTTTTGGATTTAAAAATTTTTTCAATCAACATGTAATATTTTCAAAAATATGCATTCTAAACCGCCTAAACTTGTATAATATATTGTTAGCACATAAAAAATGTAAATTGTAGAAGGATTACCTTTAATTTTAAATCACGTGAAAAAATCAGTAGTTTTTGTACCGATTTTTTTTTCCGAAAAGGCGAATTAACAGTTTTATTTTGATCACAACTCTGTTAATTTTTATGCTCACGACTTAAAGTCAAGTTCATTGTAAAGATTTTTTTAAGTACTTTTAAACATGTTCAGTGCATTTTTCTTGAAAAATAGAATTTTTTAAGTTATTTTACGTTAAATGCTTCCAATTTAGTTTCTGGCTGACATGAAACTATCGTCAGTCAGCTGTATCTCAGCACCTATTACACCTACACAATGAAAAAAACTATAAACTATCTTTTTCTATAAGCTTAATTTTCTTCGTGATGTTTTCTTTTTCACAGAATGTCTATTTTCCGAGTTATTCAAGAAAAACTACTGAAAAATGTCTTTTTTTTTAATAAAAAATTTACATTTCCAATCACCAATAACTTATTATAAATACTGGCTCATCGAAAAATGTTCATAAGATACTTTTTGCTTAAAATTGATTGCTTTATCCTGGGGTAATTTTCAGTATTTTATTTTTCACTCCCTAGAAAGGGTGGCTTCCACCCCCTGGGCAAAAGCGCTCATCGGCATTCGGCATCATCATTTGTTTCTTGAGCTATTTTCTACTTACAGTCCAAGTTTCAAGTCAATCGGTTCTATCCGTCAATTTATAATTAGTTTTTTAAAATGCACTTCAATTCTTGTTCATTTACGCCGCCACTGGGATTAGTACGGTAAGTTGTATCAGTGCACTGTCAGCGTTGCCTGTCGTTACCTTTTTAAATAAACCGTTAGAGAAAACCAATTTTTTTTTATTTCAATGTGGGCAAAGTGCCAAAAATTAAAAAAAAAACATTCTATTTTTAAAGAAATATATTTTTTTAGCATTATTTGTAAATAAAAATACTAATCTAACCGATATGAACTATATTTTTTAAATTTATTTTGTTTTAAATACTAGTAAAGTTAAACCAGGTAGCTTTCGCGTATGACCTCATTTAAAGTAACACCCTGTATATTTAATTTCACTGACCCTCTAATAATTGTCTCATTTCACTGCTTTTCCGGGCAATATTAAAATAATAAAATTAAAACGGGCGACAAAACTAAAGAAAAAAACTCACCCTTGGTATTCCGAGCGGCCGTGGCCCCCTGAACCTGGCGTCCCTCCAGATCTGCGGGGCCTGCGGATTGTACGGGTTGTCCTGGGGCACCGGATGTCTCTGGCCCAGCATGGGGTGACCTGGAGCATTAAGCACTGGTGTAGGTATAACCCCAGACGGTACGACCACCGGTGTACCATTGGGGTTATACGATAACACCCTGGTTAGCGTGGCGTCCTCCAGAACCACCGGATCGATGCCGTGGTCGAACGGACACATCTCCCCTCGCATGCAGTAACCTTCAAAGAGAATATTTTATTAGAACGACTCGAGACTTTGGTATTTTTCCCCTCCTACCTTTCTCGTCAAAGTCCCTGCAACGTTTCTTGCTGCCCTGCTGCACCACGACACTCTGTATACTCTGCGTGCTGTTGGTAAGGCGTAAATCCATGTCACCGTGATTCGAGTCTTGCGTCGGGGTGCCGGGTCTCGACGGTTCCTTCTCCTTCTCTTTCAAAGAGTCTCGTCTGTCTCTCTTTTCCAGCGAACGGGACCTGCTGCGGCTCGCCGTCGCTCTGGTCCTGTAACGGCCACGGTGGGAGTGTCGGGGGCTCCTGGATCGAGACCTGGGCCTGATCGGGGACGGCGTTCGAGAAGCTCTGGACCTCCTGCGCTCGTATCTTCTCAAAGGCGACTTGTTCCTCCAGGGCCTGTTACGTTCTCTCANGCACCAGCCCACTTTAGTATACGTGCAAGACGTCACTTGGATGAGGTGTATGCCAATCGATGGATAGGTCGAGGAGGATATGTAAATTGGCCAGCCCGCTCCCCTGACCTTAATCCTTTGGATTTTTGCATATGGGGATATCTGAAATCTTTGATCTACTCAAGGCCAGTTGAAGATATCAATGATTTGCGAAACCGCATTGTAGCAGGGTGTGAAACGATAAAAAAATCACCAGGCATATTTGAACGCATACGCAATTCTATGAGAACAAGAGTAGATGCTTGTATTGAAGCACAAAGCAAAAAAATGTTTTCAAAGGCATTCGGCGTGTAATTTTTTTTTACAACTTTTTTGTTTATAACAATTGACTGAGCACACCGAAAAATATTTAAAAAATATGTAAATTATCAGAAAAATACACTTTATAAAATAAAAAAAGTTCCATGCCGTAGGTCTTTGTTTTTAAAAATTTAGTTGGTTACCTTCATTTAGAAGCATCTTTTTAGGGGTGAGCCGCTCGCCTATAATGCCCTCCTTTAGTGTTTATCAGATCATTGGGTTTCTTAAAAATCGCCCTTCATTATACAAATTGGTTGGTTTTTTAACGATAACTTCCTTAATTTTAAAGCTATTAAGACGATCCGAAAACTATTTTACGGAAAATTTCGACAGCTAAACGTACTGCAAAATTGAATATTTTTTAACTCGTTATTTATGAGATTTTTGAAGTTAAAGGGTTTGGAAAACATGACCTTCGCCCTCAACTGCAAATTTCTAGCAGCGGCATCTCTGTTAATTTTTATCCTACACAAATAAAAAAAAAACAACAAAATATTCTGTGGAAAAAAATCGAAACTTTTGTACTCTTAAATATTTGTTGTAACTCTTTTATTTTTAAAGTAGTTTCAAAAATATGTAATTTTTTTTGGATTTAAAAATTTTTTCAATCAACATGTAATATTTTCAAAAATATGCATTCTAAACCGCCTAAACTTGTATAATATATTGTTAGCACATAAAAAATGTAAATTGTAGAAGGATTACCTTTAATTTTAAATCACGTGAAAAAATCAGTAGTTTTTGTACGGATTTTTTTTTTCCGAAAAGGCGAATTAACAGTTTTATTTTGATCACAACTCTGTTAATTTTTATGCTCACGACTTAAAGTCAAGTTCATTGTAAAGATTTTTTTAAGTACTTTTAAACATGTTCAGTGCATTTTTCTTGAAAAATAGAATTTTTTAAGTTATTTTACGTTAAATGCTTCCAATTTAGTTTCTGGCTGACATGAAACTATCGTCAGTCAGCTGTATCTCAGCACCTATTACACCTACACAATGAAAAAAACTCAATCTTTTTATTTTTCTATAAGCTTAATTTTCTTCGTGATGTTTTTTTTTTCACAGAATGTCTATTTTCAGAGTTATTCAAGAAAAACTACTGAAAAATGTATTTTTTTTTTAATAAAAAATGTACATTTTCAATCACCAATAACTTATTATAAATATTGACTCATCGAAAAATGTTCATAAGATACTTTTTGCTTAAAATTGATTGCTTTATCCTGGGGTAATTTTCAGTATTTTATTTTTCACTCCCTAGAAAGGGTGGCTTCCACCCCCTGGGCAAAAGCGCTCATCGGCATTCGGCATCATCATTTGTTTCTTGAGCTATTTTCTACTTACAGTCCAAGTTTCAAGTCAATCGGTTCTATCCGTCAATTTATAATTAGTTTTTTAAAATGCACTTCAATTCTTGTTCATTTACGCCGCCACTGGGATTAGTACGGTAAGTTGTATCAGTGCACTGTCAGCGTTGCCTGTCGTTACCTTTTTAAATAAACCGTTAGAGAAAACCAATTTTTTTTTATTTCAATATGGACGAAGTGCCAAAAATTAAAAAAAAACATTCTATTTTTAAAGAAATATATTTTTTTTACATTATTTGTAAATAAAAATACTAATCTAACCGATTTGAACTATATTTTTTTATATTATTTATTATTTTGTTTTAAATACTAGTAAAGTTAAACCAGGTAGCTTTCGCGTATGACCTCATTTAAAGTAACACCCTGTATATTTAATTTCACTGACCCTCTAATAATTGTCTCATTTCACTGCTTTTCCGGGCAATATTAAAATAATAAAATTAAAACGGGCGACAAAACTAAAGAAAAAAACTCACCCTTGGTATTCCGAGCGGCCGTGGCCCCCTGAACCTGGCGTCCCTCCAGATCTGCGGGGCCTGCGGATTGTACGGGTTGTCCTGGGGCACCGGATGTCTCTGGCCCAGCATGGGGTGACCTGGAGCATTAAGCACTGGTGTAGGTATAACCCCAGACGGTACGACCACCGGTGTACCATTGGGGTTATACGATAACACCCTGGTTAGCGTGGCGTCCTCCAGAACCACCGGATCGATGCCGTGGTCGAACGGACACATCTCCCCTCGCATGCAGTAACCTTCAAAGAGAATATTTTATTAGAACGACTCGAGACTTTGGTATTTTTCCCCTCCTACCTTTCTCGTCAAAGTCCCTGCAACGTTTCTTGCTGCCCTGCTGCACCACGACACTCTGTATACTCTGCGTGCTGTTGGTAAGGCGCAAATCCATGTCACCGTGATTCGAGTCTTGCGTCGGGGTGCCGGGTCTCGACGGTTCCTTCTCCTTCTCTTTCAAAGAGTCTCGTCTGTCTCTCTTTTCCAGCGAACGGGACCTGCTGCGGCTCGCCGTCGCTCTGGTCCTGTAACGGCCACGGTGGGAGTGTCGGGGGCTCCTGGATCGAGACCTGGGCCTGATCGGGGACGGCGTTCGAGAAGCTCTGGACCTCCTGCGCTCGTATCTTCTCAAAGGCGACTTGTTCCTCCAGGGCCTGTTACGTTCTCTCTTCTCGCGGTCCAAGCGGTGCTGCTCGCGTTCCCGGGACTTCTCCCTGGAACGGGAACGTTTCAATCGGTCCCACGACCGTGAGCGTGACTTGGAGCGGTTCCTTGACAAAGAACGGTGTCGCGGGGATCTCCTGCGAAGTGGCCTGTCCTCCCGCTCCTTGCAGAAATGTTAAATGAAAATAGTGACAATGAACAATCTTAGCATTACACAACATTTTTGTATAAACAAAAAGACAGCTGTGAAAAATGATATTTTTTGTTTGTTAGGTTGTCAGTGTGTATAAGAAAGAAGACATGCTCAGTCGTAAAAGTTGAATAAACTACAGTCCACTAACATTAAAATCGACGAAACAATATAAATGTCAGTTAAAATTATTATTTTGTGTTGTCAGGAAAGACAACAAATTTTCTCAAATTTTTGGAACTCTGCGCCTTACCCCAACAAGCAAAATAATCTTTTGTAGCCTAATACCAACCCAATATTATTAATTAAAGTAAGGAAATTCGATATCATAAAAGTTACTTACTGCGTCTGAATTTTTCCTCAATTCTCTGTCCCTTCTGGCCTCGGCTTCCTTTTTTGCAGCCCCGTTGATGGCCTCGTTCAGATTCGGCAGCTCGCTGGGCTGCACAATCATTTTTGATTCCTTCGGCTGTTCTTTGGTAGATTTTACAACATTCGGATTTGGGGGATTCGCGTTTGGTATAACTGGCGTATTAATATAGTCTTTTGTGTTCAACGTTTGGAAAACTAAATCCACAAATGATTCAGTCTCTGGAAACAAATCATTTATGTAACTCGAACTGTCGAGAAAGCTGTTTTCACGTAGCTTACCTCCTTCCAAAAATACATCCAACTGACCCACCATACTTTTCCTCAGTTCTTCCTCTGATTTATCCTTCTTAATTAATGCCAGCACGTATTTAGCTAAAGCAGCTGGGTCAGCTTCACACCTACAAGAAAATTGGGATGGTTTGACGCGTAAACAATGAGGTTATGTTACAGCATAAGCAATTTGCACTAAAGATCGTTTTTAAAAGCTTCCATAATTGTACGTTACTGTATAATACTTCCTTACGATTTGTTTAAAAGTTTAAGTAATTCGATAAAGTCGAAAGGACACTAATATAGAAATTGCAAAAAATGTTAAATATGGGGGGTCAACTTACATCGGCCTGAGAACAGCTGTTAGCCAACTTTTAAAAGCATCGACTTGTTCAATAATCATTTTGTTGAACTTATATACACATGACTAACAGAAACGTATGATTTATATCACAATCGACCCAAAACTACCTCGCTGTTTTTGCACAAAAATATTCACTGCGATTCTATTACGACCGCCACAACCACTCACGAAATAATAATCTCTAGAACAACTGACTGCCAACGCCGCGCGAAGAAAATTACTAAAAATATCCAAACCTCCAACATAGTAGAAAAAAATTACTATAAATAGAAAGTGAAAAATAGAACTTTTAAAAATAAAAATACGGATTTGTTTATTTACGTTTTTTAAGTTGCCGTGGCAAATTACAGAAATATTTCTCTTCCAGGGAGTGAAGTATTATTTTCGTTCTGAGAAAATACCTGTTCCAATAAAATAAAATAAAAATCGATGCAGGTGCATTAACATTCAGTGTTAATTGCGAAATTACAATTTTCTTATATTTACTGCTAATAAGTTAATAGATCCATTACTTTTGTTTACTTAAAAAATTATCACGGCTCGTTAGGTAAATAAAAAGAGCGGAAACTCTACGCTCCTCATTTTCTGTTTACTCGTCAAATTTTTGTCTTCTTCGGTAAAACGAAACAGGTGATGTAATAATTATTTGCAAGCATAAAGCCGCACAGACAAGTTAACCAGCGCAATAATTACCTATAAACAATACGAAAACTTATTTGCCTCACTGTACATGTTTTTTATTTCTTACAACAGTTATAAATGTTCAAATTAATATTTATCAATGAAGGTCATATCAATAGTGAATTCTTTCTTTTGGTGTAGTTTTTTGTGTAGTTTTGCTCATTATGAAGATGTAATTTTAATGGTAAGATATTGTAATTTTTCCTGATTTTTTTTTCCTTTTTATGCTGGGAATGTATTTGACCTGATTGATTAATTTAATGGCTAATTAAACATATTTATAGAAAAACTGGGCAATTAACAAAGTTCATAAAAACTATCGCCTTTTGACCTTTTTAATTTGCATATTTGCACATCCCATGGGTACCTCATGCTTTGATGGAAATTTCTGTCACGTCCTAAATCCTGTTTACATTTGCAAAATATTGTCCTCACTATTATTATACCATTTATATATTTTTATTAAAATGGTGTTCATTAATTCCATTCCAATACTCCTATTCAAATCAAATGGTTTGTGGTGGGTGGTTCATACGATTCGATGAAAGCATAATGGAACATTCGATGTTCGATATTGGTATTCGATTTTCGGCTTCGCGTCATTTGACAGATTTGACAAATTTTGACGATTTTTATCAAATGTTGATTTCAATTCGCGTCTGTTTACGATTTATTTTTATCTTCCGTATAAAGACAACATAATTTATCTTATCACTTTACGCAGCATTACAAATATTACATAAAGTATTGGGTGCTTATCTTCGGATAACGCTTTCTTTCATAACCTTAAAACAACTTTGATTTTCGTGTTATCAGCGTTTCGTTAACGTCTAATAATAAATATTTATCGTTGTGTTATCCTCCTAAAGAATGAGTGAACACGTGGACATCGAGCAGAAACCTCTCACGCTGGATGAAGAAATAGAAAACTTGTCTCACGAAGACCTGTTAGAGATATCTCAGAGCAGTCTGCGGCGATTGATAGCTGCAGACCCACTACTTTGCGATTTACCTGTGGACGTGACCACAGAGGAAGTCTTGGCACAAATCGCTGTGGCCCAGGGCCAGTCTATAACGGTTACCGTTACGAGATATTCTGAAAGTCCACTGAACGTTGTTGTAAGTTATCGCAATGTGACATCGTATGTTTAAATAAAAGACTCGTATTTTAGATACCTCAAAGAGGGACTACGGTCTTGGATTTAAAGAAGGCTATAAAGAGAACGTTCACTTTGAAACAGCAACGGCAGAGAAGCAAAACTAAGATAAGTTGGAGGTATGTTTGGAGGACTTATAATTTGCAGAATGTTGAAACTGGCAGGGTTATGAAAGACAACACGAAAGAAGTGTCAGAATATGGTGAGTTTATGATTATATTAATACCGAACAGATAAAAGTAGAGGAAACGGTTAATCAATAATTTCCTGTTTTTAAATATATACCTAATGCAGAGAAGTTTATCTGGGTCATATATTTTTGGTAGCTTGGATGTTCCAAGAATAATATTTGAATGGCAATAAAATTGTTATTGCAGCAAGGTTTTTTTCCCGTGCCAACAATAATAAATTTGGGAAATTTCGGTTGTATATCACTTTCACTTTCATTTGAAGTTTGATTCTTGCTAATAAATAATTTTTACACACTTATCAGATATAGCTTTTTTGATTTGCTTGTCCGAGATAAGCACATATTTGCTAAATGAGTGATTTTTTTTTATAGGAATTGTGAATAAGTCTGAGTTGAGGTTTGTCAAGAAACTGCGGAAAGACCGTCCCGAGACATGCTAAAGAGAAATGATCTGTACGGACCTGAAACTCAAATGGACATTGGTAATCGTTTTAATTGTAGTGCCGTTCACAGGTTAGTAGCGCCCCAAGAGTCGAATACAAGCATTTGCTACATGACTAGTGTCTTTTTTAGTGTTACAAGCGCAATGTTACCCTTGGCTGGAGCAGATCACGCGTCAAGAGCAGCTAACGATGGGCTGCGACAATTTGGTAGTGAAATCTAGGGGCAGGTTGAACGTCACGAGCTTGGACCACATCCTGGTGGATCACAAGCATAAGTTACTGTACTGTTATGTTCCTAAGGTCGCCTGTACTAACTTTAAAAGGGTAAAAAGATTTGAACGATTTAAAAAATTGTACGATCTTATAATTTTTTTTGTTTTAGGTCATGATGGTGCTTACTGGCGAGTCCAGCGCTACGAATCTAGTTGAAATACCGGCGACGTTGGCGCATTCCGAAAATTCAACGTTGAGGTTGTCGCAATTGAGTCGGGATGAGGCGAGGGCTTGCCTCAAGGATTACACAATTTTTCTCATCGCTAGGCATCCGTTTGAGAGGCTGCTATCAGCGTTTAGGAATAAATTTGTGGACAGCCTGCCCAGCTCTAAATATTTCCAGGTAAAACGTCAAACGTAAAAATATTTATTGAATTAGGTTCGTACTATGCAAAAATACGAGGACTACAGCCAGTACAATTTCAGTGACTAATTATAGTAGTAGGTCCCATTTGATTTCCTAACCTCAATAACGAAATACGCCAAAAATAGTTTAGTAGGTCTCATCTGATTTCCTAACCTCAAATACGACAAATGTAAAATACTTGATATTTTTCACGTTTTTAGGCGAGATACGGCAGGCACATCTTACGTAAGTACCGCGTGAACGCGTCCAGGTCCGAAATACAGTCCGGCACCAACGTCACCTTCCAGGAATTCGTCCACTACCTCCTTACGGAGGGCATCACCACCAACGAGCACTGGACTCCCATCTACGACCTCTGTTCGCCCTGCCTTCTGAATTACACCTTCATCGGCCACTACGAGACAATCTCGGAAGACACCAAGACTGTCCTGGATATGGTGGGGGCACCCCCGATCGTGTTTCCGGTGACGCGAAGCGGCCACACGAAGGAGCATCTAAGGTGGTACTTCCAGCAATTGTCCATATTCGAGATTCAGGCGTTGTACAAGATGTACGAGAGGGACTTTAAATTGTTCGGGTACGGCCTGGAGGAGATGTTGGGGTACGATTTGGCTTAGGTAGGTGTGAATTTTCGACGAGGCGGTCTCTCTACCAGTTAAATGGTGTTTTTATTTTTCGTGTGCAGGGTGTAACTTTGGAAGCGGTCATATTTATGTCGAGGCTACCTCTGTTGTCAAATCCCATCTTTCTTGGTTCGTATACATGTTTTTTCATGTGAAAATTTGACGATGAAGACACACAAACACGCAGTACTGTCACTAACACGGCAATAAATAATTTTAGAAGGTCATACTGTTGCACTACTCGACATATTTCACTAAATACTTCTTTACGTAGAAACTGATAACCTTAAAATTAATGTAATAAAATGAAATGGGCCTATATTCTGCCATTCTCATTTTATTAAAACAATATTGGCTGCTTGTTTTTTGTCCGCCTAGTGCCCTGTTGTCATATCACGTCAGGTGGATTGATACTTAGTTCAGTCGTTGACACTGAGATTCGTAAGCTAAACACAGTGCTTTAAAAAAATGGTAACAAATACTTGAAACAATTATAAAAATTATTTTAGATGTATCAGATTAGTATTTTTATTTATTTTTCGTTATGCGAATTTTGTAAAACGGCAAAAGTAATTAATTTTAAATGCAAAATAGTATTTTTTACAATTAGTCCGATCGAAGTAACTCATTTAGAGGAAAAAAGCGAACAAATTGTTAAAGTAAACGTAAAAAAGATAAATGCGTGAGCGGGGGTGGAGGGTTGATTTGGGGGGGTCGAAAAGTGGTGAGGAATGGTATTATTGCGATTATCTGTGAAAGTTCACTTAAAAAAAAATATCCAATACAAAAGTTGTAAATCATGCAAAAATCTGCAACTTTTGTAGAGGTCACTTTTTTATGTAACCTCAAAATTTTTGAAAAAAGTCGTTTTTTTGCCTTTTTTTCGTTTTTTATTTTTCATTTTGGCAGAAATAATTTAATTTTGACGAAGCTTGGTGAAAACATAAGTCTCTAAAATTTTCGAAAAAAATGCGAAAAATCATTTTTTTTGTCTTTTTTCATTTACGTTTCATTTTGGCAAAAATAATTTAATTTTGACAAAACTTGGTGAAAATATATATACGTCTCTGTATCTTAAATAACCACAATTTTTTTAGATAAAAAAAATCTAAAAGTTTCCGAAATAAATTTTTTTCAACAGTATTGCGATTATCAGCGAAAGTTGACATAAAAAAAGTGTCCAATACAAATGCTGTAATTCATACAAAAATCTGCAACTTTTGTAGAGTCACTTTTTTATGTAACCTCAAAATTTTCGAAAAAAATGCGAAAAATAATTTTTTTTTGTCATTTTCATTTTTTATTTTTCATTTTGGCAAAAATAATTTAATTTTGACGAAACTTAGTGAAAACATTCGTCTCTGTGTCTTAAATAACCACAATTTTTTTAGATAAAAAGAAAATCAAAAAGTTTCCGAGATATAAATTTTTTCAATGGTAATGCGGTTATCGGCAAAAGTTGACATCAAAAAAAGTATCCAATACAAAAGTTATGCAAAAATCTGCAACTTTTGTAGAGGTCATTATTTTATGTAACCCCAAAATTTTTGAAAAAAATGCGAAAAATAATTTTTTTGTCTTATTTTCGTTTTTTATTCATATTGGCAAAAATAATTTAATATTGACGCAACTTGGTGAAAATATACGTCTCCGTGTCTTAAATAACTACAATTTTTTTAGATAAAAAAATCTAAAAGTTTCCGAGATAAATTTTTTTCAACGGTATTATTGCGATTATCGGCGAAAGTTGACGTCAAAAAAAGTATCCAATACAAAAGTTGTAGATCGTGCAAATATCTGCAACTTTTGTAGAGGTCACTTTTTATGTAACCTCAAAATTTTCGAAAAAAATGTGAAAAATCATTTTTTTTGTCTTATTCATTTTTTATTTTTCATTTTGGCAAAAATAATTTAATCTGTGTCTTACATAACCACAATTTTTTTAGATAAACAAATCTAAAAGTTTCCGAGATATTAATATTGTCCGGTTCGAAACAATTTTTTTTCAAACAACAATTTTACTTTTTCGTTTTGACGTATACTTTTTGATAAAATAGAAAAAATGTGGAATCTCAATTCAAGAATATGCTAAAAAATGCAAAAAAAAAAAACAAAAATGACTTGTGAATAGATTTTTTTTTTATTTTNTTGGGAAATTTCGGTTGTATATCACTTTCACTTTCATTTGAAGTTTGATTCTTGCTAATAAATAATTTTTACACACTTATCAGATATAGCTTTTTTGATTTGCTTGTCCGAGATAAGCACATATTTGCTAAATGAGTGATTTTTTTTTATAGGAATTGTGAATAAGTCTGAGTTGAGGTTTGTCAAGAAACTGCGGAAAGACCGTCCCGAGACATGCTAAAGAGAAATGATCTGTACGGACCTGAAACTCAAATGGACATCGGTAATCGTTTTAATTGTAGTGCCGTTCACAGGTTAGTAGCGCCCCAAGAGTCGAATACAAGCATTTGCTACATGACTAGTGTCTTTTTTAGTGTTACAAGCGCAATGTTACCCTTGGCTGGAGCAGATCACGCGTCAAGAGCAGCTAACGATGGGCTGCGACAATTTGGTAGTGAAATCTAGGGGCAGGTTGAACGTCACGAGCTTGGACCACATCCTGGTGGATCACAAGCATAAGTTACTGTACTGTTATGTTCCTAAGGTCGCCTGTACTAACTTTAAAAGGGTAAAAAGATTTGAACGATTTAAAAAATTGTACGATCTTATAATTTTTTTTGTTTTAGGTCATGATGGTGCTTACTGGCGAGTCCAGCGCTACGAATCTAGTTGAAATACCGGCGACGTTGGCGCATTCCGAAAATTCAACGTTGAGGTTGTCGCAATTGAGTCGGGATGAGGCGAGGGCTTGCCTCAAGGATTACACAATTTTTCTCATCGCTAGGCATCCGTTTGAGAGGCTGCTATCAGCGTTTAGGAATAAATTTGTGGACAGCCTGCCCAGCTCTAAATATTTCCAGGTAAAACGTCAAACGTAAAAATATTTATTGAATTAGGTTCGTACTATGCAAAAATACGAGGACTACAGCCAGTACAATTTCAGTGACTAATTATAGTAGTAGGTCCCATTTGATTTCCTAACCTCAATAACGAAATACGCCAAAAATAGTTTAGTAGGTCTCATCTGATTTCCTAACCTCAAATACGACAAATGTAAAATACTTGATATTTTTCTCGTTTTTAGGCGAGATACGGCAGGCACATCTTACGTAAGTACCGCGTGAACGCGTCCAGGTCCGAGATACAGTCCGGCACCAACGTCACCTTCCAGGAATTCGTCCACTACCTCCTTACAGAGGGCATCAACACCAACGAGCACTGGACGCCCATCTACGACCTCTGTTCGCCCTGCCTTCTCAATTACACCTTCATCGGCCACTACGAGACAATCTCGGAAGACACCAAGACTGTCCTGGATATGGTGGGGGCACCCCCGATCGTGTTTCCGGTGACGCGAAGCGGCCACACAAAGGAGCATCTAAGGTGGTACTTCCAGCAGTTGTCCATATTCGAGATTCAGGCGTTGTACAAGATGTACGAGAGGGACTTTAAATTGTTCGGGTACGGCCTGGAGGAGATGTTGGGGTACGATTTAGCTTAGGTAGGTGTGAATTTTCGACGAGGCGGTCTCTCTACCAGTTAAATGGTGTTTTTATTTTTCGTACGCAGGGTGTAACTTTGGAAACGGTCATATTTATGTCGAGGCTACCTCTGTTGTCAAATCCCATCTTTCTTGGTTCGTATACATGTTTTTCCATGTGAAAATTTGACGATGAAGACACACAAACACGCAGTACTGTCACTAACACAGCAATAAATAACTTTACAAGGTCATACTGTTGCACTACTCGACATATTTCACTAAATACTTAACGTAGAAACCGATAAACTTAAAATTAAAATTAATGTAATATAACAAAATGCGACTATATTCTACCATTCTTATTTTATTGACGTTTTTTGTCCGCCTAGTGCCCTGTTGTCATATCACATCAGGTGGATTGATACGTAGTTCAGTCGTTGACACTGAGATTCGTAAACTAAACACAGTGCTTTAAAAAAATTGGTAACAAATACTTGAAACAAATATAAAAATTATTTCAGATGTATCAGATTAGTATTTTTATTTATTTTTTCGTTACGCGAATTTTGTAAAACGGCAAAACTATTTAATTTTAAATGTAAAGTAGTATTTTTTACAGATAGACCGATCGAAGGAAAAAAGCGAAAAAATTGTTAAATTAGAAATGGTAAAGGGGTTCATAATAAATGTAAAAAAAAATAAATGCGTGAGCGGATAATGGTGGAGGGTTGATTTGGGGGGTTGAAAAGTGGTGAAGAATGGTATTACTGCAATTATCGTCGAAAGTTGACTTCAAAAAAAGTATCCAGTACAAAAGTTGTAGATCGTGCAAAAATCTGCAACTTTTGTAGACCTCTACAAAAGTTGCAGCAAAACTTTTTATGTAACCTCAAAATTTAAAAAAAATGCGAAAAATCATTTTCTTTTGTCTTTTTCCTTTTTATTTTTTATTTCGGCTAAAATAATTTAATTTCTTGGTGAAAACATACGTCTCTGTGTCTTAAATAACCACAATTTTTTTAGATAAAAAAAAATCAAAAAATTTCGGAAATATTAATTTTTTTCAATGGTATTATTGCGGTTATCGGCGAAAGTTGACATCAAAAAGAGTATCCAATACAAAAGTTGTAGATCATTAAAAAATCTGCAACTTTTGTAGAGGTCATTTTTTTATGTAACCTCAATAATTTCGAAAAATATGCGAAAAATTTCTGTCTTCCTTTTTTATTTTTCATTTCGGCAAAAATAATTTAATTTTGACGAAACTTGGTGAAAATATACGTCTTTATGTCTTAAATAACTACAATTTTTTTAGATAAAATCAAAATGTTTCCGAGATATAAATTTTTTTCAATGATATTATTGCGATTATCGGCGAAAGTTGACATCAAAAAAGTATCCAATACAAAAGTTGTAGATCATGCAAAAATCTGCAACTTTTGTAGAGGTCACTTTTTATGTAACCTCAAAATTTTCGAAAAAATGCGAAATTTTTTTTTTTCTTTTTTCGATTTTTATTTTTCATTTCCGCAAAAATAATTTAATTTCTAGGTGAAAACATACGTCTCTGTGTCTTAAATAACCACAATTTTTTTAGATAAAAAAAATCAAAAAGTTTCTGAGAAATTTTTTTCAAGGGTATTATTGCGGTTATCGGTGAAAGTTGATATCAAAAAAGTATCCAATACAAAAGTTGTAGATCATGCAAAAATCTGCAACTTTTGTAGAGGTCACTTTTTATGTAACCTCAAAATTTTTGAGAAAAATGCGAAAAATCATTCTTATTTTGTCTTTATCGTTTTTTATTTTTCATTTTGGCTAAAATAATTTAATTTTGATGAAACTTGGTGAAAACATACGTCTCTGTATCTTAAATAACCACAATTTTTTTAGATAAAAAAAATCTAAAAGTTTCCGAGATATAAATTTTTTTCAATGGTATTATTGCGGTTATCGGCGAAAGTTGACGTCAAAAAAAGTATCCAATACTTAAGTTGTAGATCATGCAAAATCTGCAACTTTTGTAGAGGTCACTTTTTATGTAACCTCAAAATTTTCGTGAAAAATGCGAAAAATCATTCTTATTTTGTCTTTCGTTTTTTATTTCTCATTTTGGCAAAAATAATTTAATTTTGATGAAACTTGGTGAAAACATAAGTCTCTGTATCTTAAATAACCACAATTTTTTTAGATAAAAAAATCTAAAAAAAGTTTCCGAGATATTAATTTTTTCCATTTTGAACCGCTCTGTTTTTCAAAAAAATTCTACTTAGAAAAATCATATACTTTTTGATAAAATAAAAAAAATTTCTAATCACAATTCAAAAATATGCTCAAAGATGAAAAAAAAGCAAAAATCTCTTATGATTAGATTTTTTTATTTTATCAAAAAGTATATGTTTAAACGAAAAAAATGAGCACGGCAGAACTCTGCTCGATGATTTTTCTTAGAATTTTTTTTAATGTTTTGGACCGTAATAAATGAATGTCTCAGAAACTTTTTGATTTTTTTTATCTGAAAAATTTGTGGTTATTTAAGACATAGAAAGGTATACTTTCACCAAGTTTCGTCAAAATTAAATTAATTTTGCGGAAGTTAAAAATAAAAAACCAAAAGACAAAAAGACAAAAAAAAAACGATTTTTCACATTTTTCCGGAAATTTTGAGGTTATGTAAAAAAGTGACGTATAAAAGTTTTATAAATTTCTAAAAACAACAATTCTAACAACAACTATAACTTTTGTATTGAATACTTTTTTTTTGACGTCAACTTCTGCCAAAAATCGGAATAGTGCCATTCTTCACCCTTTTTCAACACCCCCGAATCAACCCTCTACCACCACCGCTCACGTATTTATTTTTTTTAGCGGTTTAATAGAACTCGTCTGATTTCCTAACCTCCATTAGAAATATGTCAAAATTTGTTTAGTAGGTTTCCTAGGAATTCCTAACCTCAAATACAAAATATTTTTATGCTTATCGGCTATATGTAATTACATATCAACTTTTGATTTTTTTAAAATGTATAACTATATAGATGAATGTCTGGGGAGCACGTAAAGTTACATCCTGTATATTATACGGCGGTTTAGGTCTAAAAAAATGGCGTTTCTCTCTGTGGCACATTTTCTATGTCTGTTTTAATAACTCCTTCCAAACGTTTCAGGGATTTCACCACTTTTAGTTATAAGAACCGGTTCAAAAGACAATTATTTTACCATTCCATCGTCTACCTCAATATTTTAAAAACACTGCCAAAAATTATGTGTATTTTTCAAACTCGATTAACAAGGGTAACTGGAAGGGCGAGGGATTATTTATTTTTAATTATTTTTTTTTATCATAACAATGGTAAGGGTTATAGGAAGATTTCGGTTTTATTGCACGACAACTACTTTCTGTGAGAAACTAGTCATAGCTAATTATTCCTAGTATTAACTAAACTACGTTTTAAAGAAATTTGATGTACACTACACATCAAAATTAACACACTACTAAAAACGGGCAAGTTTTTAAGTTGTTTCTTTTTAATTGTAGAATTTACTCGTGTATATAAAACATGAAATCTCACGATGAGACATTTGAGGGTCGAAGTTTTTCACAATTTTTCCCAACGTTTCTGCAATTTCTTTAAACCCTCCAAAAAATACGATTTGTCAGCTCTTCAAAGTACTCTTCTCCTCGTTTGAGCTTTATTTTTTCCTCCTTATCAAAAACGAACGCTTAAATTCGTTCACGGTATTATTGATTATAAAGAGTCCCCATAGACAGCACCCATCAAAAACAAAAAGCGATTACGGATCGATATTGCACTTTTTCCTTTTTATCGAGAAATACGTGCGATGCAACTAGCTGCCAAATAAAAAAAAATTATTTGAAATTTAGTATGGTATCATTTTGACAGATGGCAGTACACGACGATAATGTGAATTTCCCTTGGCAGCGCCATCTGTGTTCAAACATGGGTACTTATTGATCGACCCTCGTAGATATTTCAAAAGATTTCCTTTCTAACTTGAAACGTTTCATTTTTTTGAGTAAAATGTACATAAATGACAGTTTAAAACTTATTTGTTTATCATTTCATTGTGGGATATTCTGATAAAACACACGACGCATTTTCCGTAAGATTTTCGATCTCTATCGAAACGCACTAATTGTTAACTCGTTTTGAAACTTCTAGATTATTTTGAGACGCGTCTACATCCATATAGTTACTATCAATTATTTTCAACTTGATATTCTAATTCGAACTTTCAAGTACAACAATGGCGACGACGACAGCTACAGCATAATAATGATCGCTTACAATTTTTAATAATAATGTAAAATCGTACAAATATTTCAAGGAAACTTTACCGTTTCTTACAAGAATTTGTGGGATTGAAGGAAACTTGTTGTGAACATGTTTGAAAAGTTTTTATCGCACTCACCAAGCAGTTTGTGTAATAAAGAACGATTTTTAACATTTATATCTTCAATAACTATCATTTTTGTATGAAAGTCTGGTAGTGTGTTAATTTTTTATGCGAAATTTATGAAGAGCGGTAAAGCTTGGCATTATTTTAAAAAATACCATTGATTAGCGCATAAACTGGAGGGAGCGTAGCTTGATCTGTTCCAGTAAGTCGTAGATCGGTGGTAATAACAAAATTAAACAAAAAAGAAAAAATATTAAGTTCGTTTTAGCACTAATTTGTGGAATAGGGTCATAATTGTATAGGGTGTTTGAAAGTAATGAATTATTTTTCTTGTTGATATATTTCTTACGAATCACCAAACAATTAAGGCGACAGAAAATTAATATTGCCAGTACTTATATTTAGTGACAATGACAAATATTTTTGGTTCAAACCTAGAAAAATATACAATAGTGTTATTTTATACGAAAAAGAAATGTTTTCGTATAAATCGTACAAATATTTCAAGGAAAATTTACCGTTTCTTACAAGAATTTGTGGGATCGAAGGAAACTTGTTGTGAACATGTTTGAAAAGTTTTTATCGCACTCACCAAGCTGTTTGTGTAATAAAGAACAATTTTTAACACTCATATCTTCAATAAATATCATTTTTGTATGAAAATCTGGTCGTGTGTTAATTTTTTATGCAAAATTTATGAAGAGCAGTAAAGCTTGGCATTATTTTAAAAAATACCATTGATTAGCGCATAAACTGGAGGGAGCGTAGCTTGACCAGTTCCAGTAAGTCGTAGATCAGTGGTAATAACAAAATTAAACAAAAAAGAATATTAAGCTCGTTTTAGCACCAATTTGTGGAATAAGGGTCTAAATAGGGTGTTTGAAACTAATGAATTATTTTGATTGTTGATATATTTCTTACGAATCACCAAATAATTAAGGCGACGAAAAATTAATATTGCCAGTACTTATACTTAATGACCATGACAAATATTTTTGGTTTAAATCTAGAAAAATATGCATTAGTGTTATTTTATATGAAAAAAATGTTTTCTATTTCGATTTTTTTAGAATTACCTTTTATATGCATCAAAGTGTGTGACACGTGTATATATTTTTATACTTTTTTAATTAAATGTATTTGTGTTTTGTGCACGTTTCATTTTTCACCCCACCTTCCGTTTTCTGCAGGCGTTACCAGCACAAAAAAAAGCAACAGTTGAAACTAAGGCAACAATTTATTTTCTCCAGTAACTTCACTCATAGACTATGCAGTACACTTCAAATTTGCGTTAAATGCTCGAAAAACGAAACACGTTCTCGAAATCGGGACGTCTCGTTAAAGAAATTGCACTCCGATGCCAAACTGGACGCCAGGATGCGTCTGGTCCCCTTTGTCGAAGATGTACGGGAAGCAATAGTTCACCTCGAGCCTGGCCATGTTGCCGAGCCGCAGGGCGACGCCCAGGCCGTACGATATCCTCATATTGGCCCGCAGAGTGTCCAAAATGCTCGAATCTCTTCCTACGGTCGAAATTATGCGTTTTTTATACTCCTCGCTACTTTCGTTGTGATTATAACGTACCTACTCGGAAGTTTCCGACGTTGCCCCCGTTGACGAAGAGGTGGGTGCGGAACAATTCGCCGAATCCGCCTCTGCCGGGCCGGAAAGGTAACGGCGTGAACAGATGGAGTCCTGCCGACCAATAGCCTGTGGATCCGAGGGCGTCCCCGTCCGAGTGGGGCCCCACGCCTCGCATCTGGAAGCCGCGGAGGCACAGCGGGCCGCCTAGATAGTACATGTCGGACATGCTGATCTTCATGTCGTTGCTAATACTGGACATGTAACCGCCCGAAAGGCAACCTTGTATCACCTATTAATTCAAAAGTTAGTGTTATTCCTAGCCCAGAACAAGAACCGAACAAATTCCCACGATAATTTCCGTACAAGCACAATACACCAGGAAAATTAGCGAAAATAAAAGAGAAACTCGAAAAAATTCGTATCCGCAATATTATTGTAAAATTGTCTAAAGGAAGGGTCGGCAACTGGCGGACCGATCCGGACCGGACCGTGGAAGGTAAAATAAGGGACTCCCAAAAATGTTTTGAAAGTATGAATTACTCAATTAAATTATTTAAATATTTTTCTATAGATAATAATATGTTTGAGTGCCACTCTTATCATTTCTACTACAATTGCGTGATTGATTTGAGTTCTTAATGGTTAGTAGGTAGATTAAATTTGTGAGTGCAATTTAAAATAAAAAATTAGGAAAGAACGTTTTTTTATGGACTTTGTTAAAAATTTTGAACCCACCTAAAATTACTTGCCGACCCCTGGTCTAAAGGACCATAATACAAGACATCTCTCATCTCGTGAGTTAAAAACTTTTATTAGCTAACTTTTCTATTTAAACAAATAAGTGAGAAAAACAGTTTTTCACTTTGCAGGGAAATCCATCAATTTTAGCGAAAAGTGACTCACAGACAGCTTATAGGAAGTAAAATTATCTACAAAATGAGACTTGTTAAATTAAAATCGGTTAATAAACAAAAAAGTTATTGCAAAAAAAACAAGAAGAGTGCCCATTTTTTAATTTGTTTATAACTATCGCATTTATTGTTAAAATTTTATAAAACCTATGACAAGTTGAGGGTTTTGTCATACTTTAAAAGTGTGCCAAAAGTGGGCGCTGTAGGTGCAATAGTTTTCGCACAATTCTATTTGTTTATAGCGGAGGCTCCAAAAGTTATGAACTTTAAGCCTCTGTACAGACGTTAATTTTCAATCAAACATGATTCTGAAAGCGTCATTGTAATCTTAAAGACGCAATTAAGCGACCTATTAAAAAATATCACCGTTTTTTTGACATTAACATTCTCAAATTGTGCATTAAAAAACCGTGCGTTTTTCGCTTATAAACAATTTGAATAACATTGTTGCTATTTATGCTATCTCACCGAAAATAGATGCAATGGATAGCTGGCAAAAAAATACAGTTTTAAAATAAAAAAGTACCCTCTACGACCAACAGGAGCCAATTGTTTATAAATATTAAGACTTGAATTTTTCGCAAAATAAAGTTTACGACGTAAACTACGATTTCCCGTGAATTGCATTGAAAAATGTGGAAAATTAACGACTCACGAGCCCTTTAAAGAGAAGGTACTCGCTAAGTAAACTGTCCGGCGGCCGGCGGCGTGGTGGTGGGGGAAGTGCGCGCTGTAAATTTTGCAATATCTCGGCTTCTATTCATCGTAGAAACTTATTTTTTTTTTAAACTGGGGTAGCTCGACGAAAAAATAACAATGGGCATATTTACGAATTCGTAGAATAGCCCTGAACCCCAGAAAAAATGCATCTTTTATAATTAATTTTTTTTAATTTACAAAAATGTCACAAAAATTATTGTTAAACGAAATATTAATTAAAATTTCAATTTCGGAATTATTTTACTATTATTAAATAAATAAATGAAGCTATCGTTCATTTAAAAAGTTATTTCTTTTACATATTAAGGCAAAGTAAACTTGTTTTTTCAATATTTTGTTAGCTATTTAATTACGATTTAAATGTAAAATTAAAGTAAAAATTCACAAATTATTTTCAAATTATTATTTATTGTTAAAAGATTTAAAAAAGAATAAAAAGCATTTGAATTTATTGCAAAATTCTCAAAATTAAAAAATATTAAAAATAACGCGGTCGATAAAATTACAATTTTAACTTCCTGAAATTTTAATATATAAAGTTTTTTTATTATATTTATTACTAATTTTATAAACATAATCAAAATTAATTCAAAAAATATTAATCACAACCATTTTCAATAATAGATATAAATAATGCAATATAATACAATTTAAAATTTAAAATTTTTTCTATTTTTATGAGAAATAATAATTTGAAAATAATTTATGAATTTTTACTTTAATTTTACATTTAAATCGTAATTAAATAGCTAACAAAATATTGAAAAAACAAGTTTACTTTGCCTTAATATGTAAAAGAAATAACTTTTTAAATGAACGATAGCTTCATTTATTTATTTAATAATAGTAAAATAATTCCGAAATTGAAATTTTAATTAATATTTCGTTTAACAATAATTTTTGTGACATTTTTGTAAATTAAAAAAAATTCAGTATAAAAGATGCATTTTTTCAGGGGTTCAGGGCCATTCTACGAATTCGTAAATATGCCCATTGTTATCTTTTCGTTTAAAAAAAAAGAAGTTTCTATGATGAATAGAAGCCGAGATATTGCAAAGTTTTTCCAGCGCGCATCAATTTGAACTTTGGATTTCACTTTTCTCGTTTGAGCGACTCACTTGGACGAGTTTCCCCCACCACCACGCCGGACATTTTACTTAGCAAGTACCTTCTCTTTAAAGGGCTCGCGAGTCGTTAATTTTCCACATTTTTCAATGCATTTCACGGGAAATCGTAGTTTACGTCGTAAACTTTATCTTGCGAAAAATTCAAGTCTTGATGTTTATAAACAATTGTGCTACGATTTAAAAAAAAATTCTTATCTTGGCCCCTGTTGGTCGTAAAGGGTGTTTTTTTTTTTAAATTTGTATTTTTTTGCCAACTATCTATTGCATCTATTTTCGGTGATGTAGCATAAATAGCAACAATTTTATTCAAATTATTTATAAGCGAAAAACGCACGGTTTTTTAATGCACTATTTGAGAATGTTAATTCAAAAAAACCTTGATATTTTTTAATAGGTCGCTTAATTACGTCTTTAAGATTATAATGACGCTTTCAGAATCATGTTTGGTTGAAAATTAACGCCTGTACAGAGGCTTAAAGTTCATAACTTTTGGAGCCTCCGTTATGAACAAATAGAATTGTGCGAAAACTATTGCACCTACTTTTGGCACAGTTTTAAAATATGATAAAACCCTCAGCTTGTCACAGGTTTTATAAAATTTTAACAATAAATGCGATAGTTATAAACAAATTAAAAAATGGGCAATTTTTTTGTTTTTTTGCAATAACTTTTTTGTTTATTAACCGATTTTAATTTAACAAGTCCCATTTTGTAGATAATTTTACTCCCTACAAGCTGTCTGTGAGTCACTTTTCGCTAAAATTGATGGTTTTCCCTGTAAAGCGAAAAAACTGTTTTCCTCACTTATTTGTTTAAATAGAAAAGTTAGCTAATAAAATTTTTTGACTCACGAGATGAGAGAAGTCTTGTATTATGTTCCTTTAGACAATTTTACAATAATCTCGCGGACAGGACTTTCTTCGAGTAAAAATTTTATTTGCTTGGCCTACAAGTACAACTGCCGAACAATCATTAGCTGCAAAACACGGGATAGAAAAAAAAATAAACAACACTTACAATGTCCTCTAAGACAGAGTAGTTTCCCTGCAAAAAGACGTCATTCTTGAGGAACCCCACGTCACCCCCCACACCAGCAACCTCCGACGTTACTTGGAAGAGCGACCCCGTAGATGGAAAAATCAAATCGTCCCTCAAGTCGCACGCCAGGATGTGCCTCAGTGCAGATTTCAGACTGAGGCCGGACTGCTCGCGTACCTCAAAGGATGACGTTCTGCTCAGGACGCTAAGGTCCCTGATGTTCGCTTCCCACTGCAGGTTGTGTTTTAACTGCAAAAAAACGTTGAAGAAACGCGTTTACGAGTCGAGACGACGCCTTTTACTTACAAAAGGTGTCGAATAAAAGCTGAGGTCTAAAAGTGAGCCCCTCTCGAGTTGTCTGTAACCAGAGCTCGGCCATTCCGACTGGGACTGGAACACTGACGTGGTTAAACTAAAAAGAGGAGGTTATGAGAGTGAAACGTCCGTATTCTGTGGCCGCTTACGTGGGTCGATGCCGCCCCCTAAACGGTTTGATGAAGGCTACGTTGAAGTTACTGGTCCTCTTGGAACCGTGGCTGTACTCCACCTGTACCCTTTCACCCCTTCCGAACAGGTTTGGGGCACGCAACCCGACAAGCAGGGATCCTTCATTGTTGCCCACCTGCGTACTTACACCGCCCGTTAACCTTTTGTGTTCCTTGACATTAAAAGTCACCTAGAAAAGCCGAGATTATAAAAAATGTAAAGATCGGAGGATCTTTTTACTTCTAAACCGTCTGATGTTGCTTTGGGGCCCTTGCTAGTGTCTATAAAAACTGATATATTCTTAAAACAGCCCAGTTCGTCCAGTTTCACTCTGGCCTACAAGAGAAACGTTCATTTTCTGTGCGACTCGTCGTAGTTATCACTTACCCTGTGTGCTTTTATCAAAACGTCCTGGAAATCTTTTGCTCTGAATAATTCTCTGATACAGTCCTCGACAATGTCATTTTTTGTTCTTGCTAGACCGTCTACGTTTATTTTATCGACTCTTGCCTAAAAATACAAATTGAGATGTACACAAATTGAACTACTACTACGTGTAGGTGTAAAGTCAAGGTGCGTCGAAAAAACTCACCCTTACAGCTTCCAAATCGACTTCTTTAAAAGTATAAGCGTCTGCGGAGTCATGCGGGACGTTCCTGTTGACAAATTCGGATGCTTCAGTGAAATTTTCTTCTGCCTGAAAGATATAGGTTAGATTACAAATCCGGGGGTGCTCCATTTGATGCATTTTCTTCCTTACCTTTGCGTGTACCGTCCCCATTCTCTAGACCGCAGTTAGTATTTTGGACATACAATTTAATTTAGCACAACATCGTAACAAAATATGTAGTCTGATTTTCCACTGAGAAACGCTTTTCAGAAAATCTTACTGAAGCAACCAACCTGTTTGACGTTAAGCGACAACTTGTGAAAGGAAAAATTACCAAATTTTGAAAAACGCGTAATGTTGCTAAAAATAGGATTATTTACAATATTTATTACATAACCACCCTCATACCCAAATGGTTAATTTTAAAAATACGCTCAACATCCGCATATTTAAAAACTAACCTAAAATATGTAGAAAACCGTAGGAAGTTACTTGGTTCTTGTTTAGAAAGATAGGTGGCGATTGAAGATGTCCAGGGTTGGAACCGCAACCAGTTATACGTTATTTCTGTATTGATGGAGTAAGACCAACTTTTTATTTTATATTTTTCATACGTTGTAATAGCTTTGTTCCTAGAGGAGTCCTAAACAGTGTCCAATAGTAAGATGCATTCTGATTCTATGAATCTTTGGGGAATAAAATTTGAATAAATGATTTTTTGCGAAATTTTGCTTGAGAAGTTATGTTTCGACTAACATCGACTAAGAATATTTATTAAATACTTTTATTAAGATAAATATATAACAAATATAAACACTTTTCCAAAATTATTAGTCCGTAGGACGATTAAGTATAAATATATTTGAGCCTACAAATAAAATAGAAGAAATCCTACATATCACATAGATTACAACTTTAAAAACAGAATGCTCGTTGTGATTGCTTAACTGAAAGTGTAAATCAACATCAAAATCGTGCAGAGGGACACAACTAACCCTATGATGATCGAGTCGCGTCTCTTCCTCAAATTTATTCTCTGGATGAGACTGTTTATAACCGGATACCGATTCGATATGTCGTTAAACCTAGTCTGCAACCGTTTCAACGTCTGCCGCTGACTCGTCAAGTGCTCGCGGGTCTCCATAGCTATCGATATTTGCTCGTTGACCAAACGATCGGAGCTAAAACAAAACAGAAGTCAAAATTGCAAATCGGCAGCACCTCCACTCCAACGTACTTATGAACGTGTTGGTTCTCCTTCAAGTACATATCCCGACGGTTGTTCACGCCATCCGTCCTGAAGCTTTCGGAGCCCCTCAACAAGTCCTCCCTCTCACGACGACTTTCTCGTTGCGAGTTGGTTTTCCGGAAGTCCCTGGATAAGTCGGCTAGGATGTCCCTGTGTCTTTGGAGGGTGTGCAGCATGGCTGCCCCCGAAACGGGCTGTTCGGATAATCGTTCGTTCACTTGCGTCAACTGCAAACAAAGTATGGCATGTTACACATTGAATTGACAGAAAAATCGTGGTTAAACTCACTCTGTTGAGGAGTTGCTCTATTTCCAAGGACATGGCCTCGAAAGTGTCCTCTCCCGACAGTAATGGTACCGTATCGGCATGGTTACTGTGAGGGGTCTTGATACCGGCTCCTAGTTTACTAAAAGCAACCAATTTGAGGTCTATTTCGTTTTCCAGCTGTCTGGCTTGCTTTCGCAGGTCTATAAGTAAAAAGGGATGGTAAAACAAGGCTAGTAGTACATAACCTACCTTGTATTTAAGAAAATAACGTTTGGTGTCTTAATTTTTACACCCTTTGAGTCATGCAAGACTACTTCTCGTTGCGGGAAAGAAATGTAGAAAAGATTGATAAAAAAATAATAATATTTACCTTCGTATGACAACGCAGCAGCCATTTTTTGGTCGTGGGGTGATGTGAGGTTTCTCCAATTAAAAATTTGGAAATTGGAGCTTATTCAAACATTATTGACCTAATTACTTACACCTATAAATTCACCTAATTTGTAGTAGATTTATATACTTTTACAAACTTAAAAGACATTTAATAAATAACAAATTAACAATAGCCTTGTCTTCCTGAAAATCAGAGTTTCAGTGGCGTACCTCTACCAGTAATATTGCCTACTACTAATTAAATTAATATTTTTAGAGCAGAGCTTCATTTAGTTGTGGTGGAATACATTGATTGGTTCTATCGTACTTTTATTATTTATTCTTTCTGATGATCATTGACTGGTAACGACGACAGAAATTTAAAGGTATTTAAGCCCTGTTAAAAATATCTGTTACGTCTATGCATTCCCATATTTACCGTCATCTACTATTGCCAACTTCACGTTATTTTGACCTTGAGTTTTCTGCCTGAGTCCCCGTAACGGTTAAAAACGGTCATAAACTCCGTTTATTTAAACATCCGCAGTGAAAAACGTGTTTTGGCTTGCTATCCGGAAAGAAGACAATGCTGCCGTGTAAGAACGATGCATACACATTTCACCGCAACAATTCAACGAATTCCTCGAGTTCCTCGACGAGAAGTGCCGGAATGCAACACTGTAGAAGGAAACTGCAAGACACTTTCGACGAAACAGACAAAAAGGCCGAATTCAAGGCACCGCAAGGAGACAGGAGTGTGTTGAGTGTCCTTTCAATCAACGACAATACGAGAAGGGCGTTGAGGAACGGGGCTGTAAGGATTTCGAAAACTTTTAACACTGTGAGGACCACCTTTGGAACCATATCGCAGGTACGCTTGTATTTGAGTTCTTTGCCTTAAAGACTTCTCACAAGAAAACGTGTGCGTTACATCGATAATTTTTCTGTGTAGAGGTTCAAGATATCGACGAAAAGAAGACAGATCCTACAGGAGGGCCCCATGACCCCAAACTGCGCTACACCGCATACCTTCGCTAAGCAGGTTCTCGGGAGAACTCCGACAAAGTTGTACAGCCCTTTCGGCATCGAAAGCCCCTACAACAGGGGCACTACCGTGGATAAAGAGAATGTGCCGCCAAACAAGCAAACGAAGAAGATAACGCGGTGAATGTACTCGTTAACCCGTTTTTCTAGGCGCGGTTGGTCGTCAAGTTTATTTCAGTATTTTTATTTATATTTATTGCAATCGGCATTACACAGGCTTCATTTTTTTTTGTTTTAAGTTATTTTTTGTTGAGTTAGTATAGTTTTTGAATACTAATTTTAGGTAAGTGGTTTGTAATCCCTATATCGAATTTTTTCTTCGAGTAGTTCAAACGTACGTATGAGATATTATGGCAGTTCATGACAAACAAATCAAGACTGAATTTTTGACACTACCCTTTTATATTTGTTTTTTTTCTTTGTTTTTATTTTTGACATTGTACCCATCGCAGTGCCTTTTTAACACTTTTTTATATATTTCTGTATGAAATCGACACATTTCTGAAGACTGACAAGTAGTATTTATATATTTTTATGATCGATCACGTAAAACGAACTTCGACATTCATTTCGTCATCCATTTAATCATATTAAGTTCTATGTACAGGGTGATCTGTAATTTTCCGTTTATACAGTGTGGCACATTTCAAATGGAAAAAAAGGTACTTTTTGTTCGATTTAGTTCGGGTTTTGTCTGAAAGATGGAGTTTATAAAACTATTATGTCACATGACATTTGAATTTGTTTTCAGTTATCAATGCCTACTTATTATTTTTCTCAGTTATCAAAGCCTACTTATTATTTTTCTTCAACTTTGACAAAATGTTTATCGCTTCTGTTCTTCAACTATGAAAGAAATTTTTAAAAGTCTTAAACCCTATCTTTAAAAAAAACTCGAATTAAATCAGACGATATCTTTTATAGAGTGTTTCTGTTTAAAAGACATCACACTGTACACGCACTCACTTGATATTAACAAAAAGATACTTAAATGTACCGATAAGCGTCTAAAAAGACAATAATTTTATTTTTCTAACTGCGTTTTTAATCGTAGACTATTTTTAACGTACAAAAATTGTAATGGCAGAGAATCATGGATCACAATGGATCAAAGCTAGTTTTTAATGTTTTTTTTTTAACTTTTTTATAATATTTTCTGTACTGATCTTTGTATAAATAAATATTTGCACAGAATCATTGTTTTTGCGATATGTGACAGAAAATTGAGGAATTATAAAACATGAAACGACTCAACGTTTATTTAAAATAAAAAAAATTCAACAAAACATAAAGGTCGTAAATAAACATAATATTTGCAATACGGTTATTTGTGGGGGGTAAACTTTTGTATATATTTATCAAAAACGTGCTCGCTTTGCAGGATGCCGTAAGTAACGATAATCAACAATATAAACAACAGAAAGTAGCTGGTCCAGAGGAGATGTACGTAGATAAGGCTTTTTTCCTTCTAAAATACAAAAACGATACATCACAAACTCACCGACTTATTTACGTAAGACTTACGTCGCTTAGAAAATTTGCAAAGTGCGCCTTATTCTGCGGATGAAAGTTTATTTCACTGAGAACCCCTTTCGTACAAAAATCGTTACTTTCCGCTCTTAACTTTGTTGACAGAAACACTTCCGCTTTCTAAAACAATAGAAAACATTCATTTATTATAAAAAAAAATCACCGTGTAAATAACAACCAACCTTTTCATCAACTCCAGTGGACGCTTTACAGTTTGGCTCAGAAAACTTCGGTAAATATTCCTCTGGTCCTCTAATTGTCACGCAAGCATCGAATTCGGTAACGTTACTCTTCGCCACTTCTGGTACATCAAAATATATATGCAGGTGACTCGGCTTATTGTAGTAGCCTTTCGGACAGTTCGAATGCCAACCTGCGATATATTTAGTAAAGAAATTTTAAGTTCACACGTTACGACTTACCATCGAGTGTCAAGAACCCTTTTACACTCGTAAATTTCTTAATAAAATCTGTATTATTAATACTGACTAAAGTTTGCACTGTGCTCGTCTCTATAAAATCATTATCGCTGATTTCCTCAGGGGGTTTACCGTTCAATTCCAGGCACTTAATTAAGGAATTAAAATGCTTCAGCAGCGTCAACCAGTCCTGTAAATACACAACTAAGACGAAAAGGGTAAACAAAGCTGGATATTTACATGATTTTTGTCACTGTCTGGAACAGATTCCGTGTTTTTGATGTAAAAGGCAAAGCAAAATAGTGTTATGGCTGAGGTAAGTATGCACAGGAAGAAAACTACAAGTGGTGGGCGGTTTTTTATAAAAGAAAACATGGTTGCAGGTTTCGTTTAGCTCATATCACAGATTGTTGATATAAAGATGTAGGTCACATTTGTAATTAATAAGTATATCACATTATTTACATTTACTTATGTTTCTGAAGTGGGGTTATGTTAACTATCACGGCAACGTTTGTAACTAGTAGTGCGTTCCGAATTACAAATAGTAGTCTATTACGAAATTTTTACTCTAGTTATTAGTTACACCAGTAATTAATAGTTTTGCTCTGGTATTTCAAGATTTACATGGATTTTAAAAAGGATAAATTAAGAGATATTGTTTTATGTTGACTAAAACGTTTATCTCAATAATTATCACTGGGTATATGTCCAAATATTTATTAAATAATTAAAAATCTCCATACTTACCGATTTTCGTCAATTTAAAAGACATTCTTTTGTTGCTTCAACAGCTTCTCAATTATAAAACCTGGGCCACTTGATTTTACAGTAGATAACTAAAAATGATTAGAGATAATGCACAGTGAATAGATAATACATATGTTCAATTTCAATTTCTTTATTTCCATTAGACAATTTACAAATTGTATTGGAATTGTCAATAGCAGTGTAAAAGCTACGTAAAATTCGTAAATACTAAACACATAAAATAACACTTTAACAAACAACAAATACACATATATTATACATCAAAGTATTCGTTAATATTATAAAATCCTTTGTATACTAAATGCTGCTTTAAGCGCTTTTTAAACAGTCCAGTCGATGAACAACTTTTTAGTTCAGAAGGTAACTTATTGAAAATTTTTAGACCCAAGTAATTGGGTGATCTGCTGGCAACATTTAACCTACAAAAGGGCACATAAAAATTATTTTTTTGTCTTGTATTTATAGAGTGGATATTATCATGTTTTATAAATTTGTCCTGATTATTATGTATATGTTCGGATTTGTTTGGGATGAAGATATAAATCTTCATAAAAAGACCACAATTAAAATGTTTTTGCAGACTTTAATGGCATGATGGACGGGTCTCTAGACGCTTATACCCTGCCGATGCCGAGTGGGAACCAGTACGACTGATGTAATTGGTTTCTAAGAAAGTTTTAATCTCATTTAGGGCAGTTTAAAGCTTGACCCCTTCTTGCCAAGTCGATAAGATAATACAGTCCAGTTTAAGGAGCAAACACCTACAAAATGAAAACAATATATTGAATTGTTATTGACTAGATTTAAAGCATGTTTCTATTAAACTAAAGAAATGACACGGTGTTGTACTTGTCTTGTATTTTCTATATATTTGTGGCTGCTTTTGGGAGAATGCAGAGGGGTAAGTATCAATCCTTTATAATAAAAATATTTTAATATTTAGACATATGGCTGTTCAAAATAAATGTGTATTTAGAAGATTACTTATTTATTTTGCTTTGGGGATCAGCGGCAGATTATGTTTAATTAATTACTATAAATGAAATTATTGATGATGTCTTGGGCTAAAGCTTGATATATGTTTATTTTTCTTGATTTTTTTGTGATAAAAGTATCCATTTAATGGTGCAATCTGTTTATAATTATGGTGTAGGAATTTGTGAACATTTTTGATTAAAAAAGTTGTTTTAGATTATTCGACTGTTCTGTATTAATTTAAAAAATTATTTCTGAGGTCAATTTTACACCAAATAGTCATTATTTAGTTAAACTTTTTTAATATAATATATTGCAATATGTTTAATTTTAAAATTTCATTATAGTTTTATCGGATAAGACTGCTGGCGCCATCTAGTATCAACTTAACGAACTTTCTATTTCGTTGAGGTTGCGGCAGATGGCGCCTGAGAACCTGGATTTCAACGATGCAAAAAACTAACGTTACGAATGTTTCAGCTATTGTCAATAATACAGAAGTTGCGCAGATTATTAAACAATAATAACGCAATATTTACAAAACTATCTATTTTTAAACAAGAACTTACATACGTATTAGAGAATGAAGAAAATACTGTGGCAGCATCACATTTTTATCTCAAATATGAAGAAATTCTTGATTCTATCCGAAATATTCTACTTTGTATGATCCATTTCTTCAACATTAACCGCATTGAATATGAAACCATATTTTAATCTATCAAAAACAGCGAAAATAACAATTAAATCCATAATTAAAACTTTGTCAGTTTACAAGGTTTATGGTTTCAGTACATCATTTTAAAAAATGAGCCTCTACTACTTATGTAATTTTAATTTCTGAAACTTATTGGCGGTATCGACCAAAGCGCTGCGATACAGTGGTGTGAAAAATGGTACGGTGTGCTCGTCAGCAGGCTCAATTTCGTCTTGTCTCGCATGACGTCACTTGAGACCAACCCGAACGTCAAATTTGTATTATATTCGTACCACGGTAGCTAATTTTTTTATACACAAACAGACAATTTAAGTTGAAATCTGTAATTTCCACATGCGTACTAAAATGAATGTTGGGGCTGCACCAGCTCTGATTTATTAGAAAAACGATAGAAAATTGTCATATCATGGGCATATGTGTCGTAATCTCGTCAGTTTTGCTCTCAAGTGACGTCACTAGACGCGCATAGCCACGCCATGTATACAACGTCTTTTATAAATCCACTGTGGTGAATACTAGAAAATGGAATTAATTCTACTGAGAACTTTGTTCAGTTACCTAGAAAAAACACCATTCTGTTCATTTTTAGATAATTTTAGCAAATCAGCAACAGCCCAAACCAGCTTACAGTTCCGGAATCAAAACTACCGCCTGGAGGAATCCCAGTACCATTCAAACCCATCAGAACTACAGCAGGGTCTTCGTCCACAACAACCCAAACAGCGACTCCCAATACGTCATCACCAAAGCGGAGAAATCTGACAGGCTGTATCCGGTATACAATGCGCATTCCTACGGACAACAGCCCGAACAAACCCAAAAATTAATCCAGTCCAATTCTCAAACCTCGCGCAACTCTACTGGTAAGCTAAGATCGATCGTGACCCAGTCCCTCTCCGCTCACTACTCTCTCCGATAGGTCAATATGTCCCGGGGGCAAATCTGGCGGGGACTCAGAACAACAGGACCATCTACAAGAGGAAGATAGAATTCAAGACCATCGAGGTGTACGAAAAATGCCCTGAAGGCGTTACCGGCTCACTGGTGTACTACCTAAGCTGCAACCAGTTCCTCAACTGTTGGAAGGGAAGAGGGGAAATCCAAAACTGCGCTCCTGGTACCCTGTTCAATCCGAAGACTCTGGAATGCGATTTTCCCGAAAAGGTGGAGTGCGTTACAGGTATATCCGCAGTTTTAAAGACTACAGACGATGGTAGATAACTAGAACACTTTTAGGAAGGCAAAATTCTTTGACGCTACAGACGAGTCGTCATCAAAAGTCGGTTACTCAAGCGCCCTGCCCTAAAGAATTCAGCGGCCTGATCCCCAACTACACCGATTGTTCCAAGTTCATTAGCTGCAACAACGGCCAGCAGGTTTCTATGGATTGCCCACCTGGTACTCTCTTTGATACAACTCGGAATGTCTGCAACTTCCCGTACTTGACCACGTGCTTCAATGGTCAATCCGGTGCTTCCCAAAACAGCAGCGGTGTAGGGTACGAGAGTCAATCGCAGTTTCAAGGCCAACAAGGTCAATATTTAGGGCAACAACCGGGCTATTATCAAGGTCATAACACGTACGGAGCAAATCAGTACGGACTTCAAGGTCAATACAGTCAATCAGGTAATATATTTGTTGTATTTTAAATCAAAGCCATTTTAGGTCAGCAAAATCAGCAAAATTATGGTCTAGCGGCCAACCAACATGGGCAGTCTCGTTATAACTACGGTAATGAAGGCCAGTACCACTCTGGTAGTCACGTGGGACAACACAGCAACATACAACAAGGCATTAACTCAAAACTGGACTTCGGTGGAGGCAGCGGAACTACTTATGGGAAAGACCCAGTGAGTCAAGGTCACAGTTTTTATATACAAACCACTCAGGGAAGGCCTAGGTGTAATCCGCAGACACAAAATTGTGGCCTTGACTCCGGTGCTTCAACAAGCAACAACTACGGACACACTTCAGCTCAAAACTGCAATCCTCAGTACCAGAACTGTGATCACAGTCTTGGTCAAGGCCAAGGCCAGTTTTTTGTACCAGGATGCGATTCTAGAACCCAAAACTGCGGTCAAAGCTACGGAAGCACTCAGCAAACAGTCCACGGGCACAGTCAGACCCAAGAAGGTTATGGCCAGCAAAATTTTCATAGAGTTTGCAATATAAACGACTCTAATTGCCAGAGGAACACTACCGTTGCGAAGAAAAGCAAAGAACCCAAATGTCCAGATGGTTTTCAAGGCATTACCAAACATCCTAGTGACTGTAAAAAGTTTCTGAACTGCGCCAACGGTAGGACCTTCATCCAGGATTGCGCACCAGGGACTTTGTTCAATCCGGCTATCGGGAACTGCGATTTCCCGTACAACGTCGATTGTTCGACCAATGAAACCGACGAAGCAACTGAACGCTATGGGTCGAGTTCGACAAGCGAATGGCAGAGGGTATACCAGGAACACGTTGAACAATATGGTCAAAATGCTGGGCACGGTAAGCAAAATAGTTTTTTTTGTATCTAGAACGCGAAATGGTACTTTTGCGTTCAAGAATGGAAGTTATTTTGCCGAGCTTAGCGAGGCAAAATATATATTCGAGATGCAAATAATATTTTTTCGAAAACTTCAATAAAATAAGACAATTGTGTTATATACAACAATTTATATTTGAAATTGTTTGAACCGTGTTTGAATCAAGACTGTTTAGACGGGGTGACTATCATAACGATAGCAACCTAATAAACGATAAAAATTTGTTGTTTGAAAAAATAGTGTCAGAATTATATACAGGGTGGCCAAATGAAAACGAAACAGAGCCATTTTCAGGAACTGCGTCGAGATTGTAGAAAAACGCTCAGACTCGTCGATTTTAGATTAAAGGGGGACATTCTTTGCTGGTATTTAATAAATATTTAAATGACATTTGGGGGTTGAGTAATATTTCTTTTGAAAGCTCTTACAATTCTCTTTACAACAGACTTTAAATTTTATAATTCCGCCCAATACTTATTAAGAATTTTTATATTAAATTTGAAACTTGTGTACAAACAATTAGTAACGGTAAAAATATCAGTCGTTCGAGTTAAGTACGCCAATGGTATAAATTTAGTATTTCTTGCGTAACATTGGTTTTTGGCGATTTGTTATCACTTTCGTAAGAAAAAACACAATTGTAAAAAACAGAAATGAATGCTATACACACACAATGAACGTAATTGCAGAAGGTAGATATCATTTCGCCTTACTTTATGAACAATAAATGTGCGAATAGAACAGCTCAGCTATTTAATGAACAACATCAAGATCGACATGTCAGGACGAAGTATGTTCTAGAGTTAGTAAAAAAATTTCAAGAGACAGGGAACGTAGCCAATAAAAAACGAGAAATTGAAAAACTTATAGTTAATGAAGCTAGTGAAGTTGCAGTTTTGGGACAAGTTCATCTTGATCCTACATTAAGTACGAGGCAGCTGGCATCTGTGTCTAGGATTTATCGAACTAGCATACAAACCATTTTGAAGAAAAATAAATTCCATCCATACAAAATACATTTAGTCCAGGAACTTCATGAGGATGATTATGACCGCCGTTTGCAATTTTGCGAAATAATGAGTGAGCGAGCAGGGAACCATCCACAGTTCCTTTTTAACATCTGTTTTTCTAATGAATGCAGTTTTTTCTTGAACGAGACGGTAAATCGTCACAATTGCCGCTATTGGTCCGATCAAACCCAAGAGTTTTTCACGAGGTGCATACACAGCAACCGGAAAAATTAAATGTATGGGCTGGAATTTTCTGTGACCGGCTGGTGGGTCCTTTTTTTCTACCTGGTAATTTGACCGGCCAAATGTATTTACAATTACTGGAAGACGCTGTTGACACTGCCTTGACTGATATTATGGAAAATGTTCCAGAGTATGACGAAGATCATTTGATTTTTCAACAGGACGGTGCTCCTCCGCATTATGCGTTAATTGTCCGTCAGTATTTGAACCAACGTTTTCTACGGAATTGGATTGGGAGAAGAGGCAGCATTGAGTGGCCTCCAGGTCACCGGATTTATCGCCCCTTGATTTCTTTTCGTGGGGATACCTAAAAAGTAAATCTATAAAACACAGCCAGCGTCGCTGGAAGATTTGCGTCAAAGAATCGTCGACGAATGCCGTCGAATCGCTCCGGAAATGCTTCGGAATGTGCGCGAACGTTTCGAACAAAATCTTTATTCTTGTATGGAAGCGGGCGGTCATCAGTTTGAACATTTAATCGACTAAGTAGTAAGTAAGCAACTAAACATAATTTAAATTTTAAAATGTAAATTTTTTTCAAAGTATTGGGCGGAATTATAAAATTTAAAGTCTGTTGTAAAGATAATTGTAAGAGCTTTCAAAAGAAATATTACTCAACACCCAATGCCATTTAAATATTTTGGGGTGATGCTTACCCTTGCTTGGGGGTGAAAGTGGCGGAGTCCAAAATACCAGCAAAGAATGTCTCCCTTTAATCTAAAATCGACGGGTCAGTGTTTTTCTACAATCTTGACGCAGTTCCTGAAAATAGCACTGTTTCGTTTTCATTTGGCCACCTTGTATATTGTAATTCACATTATAAGAAGTTTCCGAGAAAAAAAATATCAAAGTTCGATTAATTAAGGAATATTGACATAACTCTGTACATAGAATATCATAAAATACAATGTTTATCACTTTTTTGAACTTCTTTATGATTAATTCTAAAAAATAATTAGCGTTGTAATAAATTTAAAATTCGATAAAATTCATATCGAGCAATGTGACAACGGCGTGGCGGATAATTAATAAAATCATAAATAAGTTCAAATTATTTTGACATTTTGTTTTATGTTCTAGAACAAAAAAACTTTGGTGTTCTAGAACAAAAGTATTTTGCAGTTAGGTGACAAAAAAGACTCATTATGTCAACTGAAAATTTAACGAAAATGTGGACTTTTGATGACAGTTTTCAAAAAAATAGACTTTTTTCCCCTTAAATGCATTTACATGAAAGTTTTTGCTGGATTTTTATGCTTTATCTTCCTTTCTTCTTATTTTTTTATAACGATATTCACCTGTTGCAGGTAATATTAGAACAGTGACCACCCCAACACCGCAGTATCAACCCTCTTACACCACAAATCGGGGCATTTACAATCAAGGTCATACACAGGGAACGCATGGCCAAGGTCAAGGTGGTTATTATCAAGGCCAGTTCAATACCGACTACGCCCAAGGTCAGTCAAATCAGAACCAAGGCTCTTACAGTACGAGTGGCATTAAAACCAGTCAGAACCAAAAGCCAGGTTAGGAATTAATTGTAGAGGGAGTAACCTTGAATGAATGGGGGTCATACTTTATCCGTTCTATTACCCTTCAGCTGATCCACACTTAATGTCACACCCTGTACATATATTTTATAACACTCCTAATAATTATTTATCTGTAGGTGGTGGCGTGACTGTAATCCAGCCTTTGACACCCAGACCGACTTACATAACGAACATACCGCGCGAAACCGTGGTCAATATAGGCCAAACCGGGGTGGTGAGTAGGCCAGCCCCAACTCACATCCAACTAGACAACAAAAGAAACAATGCTCCAGACTACTTGGATATCTCCGACCCTAACGAGAGGACCAACTACCTGATCCACTCCACCACCACCAGGAGTGTGGGAAAATGGCCCCCGCCGTTCCCCTCCACCGACATCAACGCCGACTACGTTTTCGAGTACGAGGACGGGGAACCGGTGACCTTGGAACCGGAGAACGTCTTTCGCGCTGACAACAAGAAGAAGAAAAAGGCGGATTGCGGCAAGGGGGACTTTTACTGTTCCTCGGAGATGTGTATCTCGAAATCGGCTGTTTGTGACGCTCACAGGGTGAGTGTTTGCACCAAACTGCTGGCGAATGTTTAATTTTTTTCTATTCAGGACTGTCAAAATGGAAAAGACGAACTGGAGTGCCAAGAATATCTGCAGAGGTTCGCACTGAGCAAAAATTCGCAACTCAACGTTCTGGAGGACCAGCGTTGGATCAACGTCAGTCAAGCCACTTGCGCTCTTCTGTGCATCCGCAACACGGGTTTCGAATGCAGGTCTTTCAATTACAGGTATGTGTTTTGAGTGGCCACTGGACTCGCCCGAACTTAATCCTGTTCTTCAAAACGTACAAAACGCTCCACTGGCCTCCAAACTCACCCGATTTTGCTCCATTTGATCTTTACTAAACTTTGCGTAATTTGGTTTATAACGCAACCAGGGAAATTTCGGTTTTTCTTTTCAGGAAAATGGACAAAACCTGCTTCCTGTCCAGCTTGAACGTGGGGCTGACAGGGGCGTTGAGGCCGTACTACCCCTACGACTACTACGAACTGAAGACCGCTTCGATCGACTGCGCGTTGATGTTCAAGTGCAACAACAACAAGTGCATCACGAGCCACCAACTTTGCGACGGTTTTGCCGACTGCGCAGACAGGGAAGACGAGAAAAATTGTAAAGCCGAGGATTTCGGCTACAGCATAAAGCTGGCGGGTACTGGCAAGAGCAACGAAGGTCGGGTGGAGGTCACAGGTGAGGAAAATGGTGTTTTTTTGGCTTGTAGTCCAGGAAAGTTAGACATAAAAAAAAGGAACTTAGATTTTTTATAGAAAAGTGTAGGTTTTGAAGTCAGAAAATATGTGTGAAAATACAGCGTTTTGAGATATACAGGGTGTCCCACTAAGGTCGGCGAGGTACGATATTAGGGAAAGTATACGCCCTAGAGTTTCGGGAAAAAAATTTTGATTAATAAATCGACTAAGAGAAATCGCCGGAAATAGTTTTCAAGTTCGTAGCTCGGCCGCTAGGGGGCGCAATCTACATACCAAAACAGGTTGAATTTTTCTCAGAAATGTTTCCTATTCAGGTATATTAAATAGAACAAATATGATAGCTGGATTCATTACGCGTAACTTTTGTTATTGACATTTTGTTCTATCTCTCGACAAGAGGGTGGGGGAAGCCCCCAATGCCTGATCAGAAAAATGCATTTTCTTAAAGATTAGCTTATCAAAAGCCCATAGTGTTACACCTCGTTGAAAAGGTCTTTTCATGCTTTATCTCTCTAACATTTAATTACCAAAACAAAATGCGTTTATAAAAGAACCTACCTAAGCACGCAGAGAAAGTTAAATTCCCGTATTGAAAATAATAGTATGCATTTCGAGCATCACTTTTAGACCAAGAAATAAAGGTGAAAAATCATCGAGAAATCGTGAAAATTACTGGGCGTGATTTTACTGTTGGAAAGTCTTGGGAATGATAATACAAGAGGCGTCTCATCTCGTGGGTCATGAAAAAGTATAGCGTCATTGTTTTTTATCAACAAATAGGTCAAAAATTCGTCATTTTTCGTTCTACGCGTTATTGTAAAAAAACTATTAATCTTAGCAAAAAATGTTCAACGGACGATTTGATCTAGAGGAATTAATCTTTAAAATGTTAAAAAGTTAAAATTGCTTTATAAACAAAAAATTTATTGCATTGAATTAAAAGGAAAAAGTACTTTTTCTTTAATTGTTAATAACTTTTTAAATAATTATTAAAATCTTACCAAAGTTTCCCAAAATGTGAGTTTTTATATCCTTAAGAGATGTGCAAAAGATAGGCTTGATCAGTCAAATAGTTTTTGTAAAATTCCATTTATTTATCCCATTTTTACAAAAAAAGTCCATTTTCAAATTACTATTCCGGGGGCAGGGTTTTGACTAAAACATTCTTTTTAGGCTCATTTTCTTCGAAGGGACACCAAGTATCCTCCTCCAGACAAATTATAGTAGAGTAAAATTCGACTTGTGTTTAGTGACTAAAGTACACTCATTTTGTTTTAAAAAAGAAATACCAACGCTAAACAAAATTTTAAGTGAACTTTCAGAGGACAACGATTTACCAAAAATCAGTAGAAGCAAATTATGGGCCGTCTTACGAGAGTTGAATTTTTGCTGGTAAAAGCAGAACAGGAAGTCAGTTCTTATCGATAAAGATGAAATTATTTGTTGGCAAAGATCCTACTTAAGATCAATTAGAAAATTCCGTGACGAAGGGAGGAATATTTATTATCTAGACGAAACTTGGGTCAACGAGGGATATACTGTAACAAAAGTATGGCAAGATAAAAATGTAAAAAGTTTTCGACAAGCATTTTTGGATGGACTTTCAACAGGGTTCAAGGCACCTTCAGGTAAAGGGCGAAGATTAATAGTGACACATATAGGTAGTGCCAGTGGTTTTGTAGATGGCGGTTTACTTTTATTTGAATCTAAAAATACAGGTGACTATCACGAAGACATGAACGCAGATGTTTTCGAAGAGTATTTTACACAGATGTTGGTGTCATGGATAATGCCAGTTACCATTCACGACAGACCGAGCGGACGCCTACGACTGCTTGGAGGAAAGCCGATATATTTCAATAGTTATCCGGAAAAAACATTTCTTTTGAAACAAATATGGTGAAAAAGGAACATTTGACACTTGTCAATCTTAATAATGATCAGAAAAAATATGTTATCGATGAAATGGCAACAAATCGCCAAATAACGGTACTACGGTTACCACCTTATCACTGTGAACTTAACCCAATCGAATTAGTGTGGGCGCAGGTAAAAGGAGATGTAGCGCGAAATAATACGACGTTTAAATTAAGTGACGTGAAAATTTTGTTAAAAAATTCCTTGGAACGAGTAACTGCAGATAACTGGCAAAGATGTATACATCATGTACAAAAAGAAGAGGAGAAAATGTGGGAACTCGATAATTTAATTGACGTTACTGTGGAACCTATCGTTATCAATCTAGGAGACGAAGATAATTCATCAGAATATTCAGAGGATGAATTTTAATATACCTACTTTTTTATTTTCTTTATTGTACATTTATACAACACTACATTTACTCACCATAATTTGAATTTTCAAAATACATATATTTTTGTGTGGAATAAAAGTCTATTCATTAAATTTAAATAAATATTTTGATAATAATATTGAATAATTTTATTTGAATTACTAAAAACCCTCTTAACCCGGTTATGATGCTTAAAGTAGCCTCATGTTTTGAAATGCTGTTTTTATATTGTTTACTTATAAGAGAAATGGACCGAGAAATTGAAGCGGCATAGACAAAGACGGATTGTCGGGGATTAAATTTTAGCTACCTGCTACAATTTAGTACAACCCGGTCACACAAAGTTTTTTTAAAAGTACACCTCATCTATACCGAAAATACATAATATAAAAATATTGAATATAAGCACCAGTACTACATTTATTTACGATTTGCATACATAATGAGCTTTTATTACTCTCTTTCATTTCTAAACAGACTATAATCTTGGATAAATAGCGCTAATAAAAAAACAACACTTTCCTTAATAATTTCAAACTTATACTATATTCATCAATTTTGCGCTGCACAGAAGTTTGCGATATACCAGTTTATTGTAGATAGAATTCTAGTACTAATATTGGGTCATCTTCAATTGTATTCAAAATAAGTTCTTCGTCATGTGCCCTTATTGCAATAGCACGTTCTCGAGTGTTACTCGAGCATGTCTTTCAACATTGGAAAATGTTTCACTATGGAGGATTACACGATTTGAAAATCTCCGATTTTCTTCAACACTTCTTCTGTAGTTTCTTTCACACAAACCTAACACTAATAGCGTGTCAACCTGATCGCTAAATGAAAACTTCCTGGTCAGTTTCAGAATTAAATTGCCCACAAAACAAAGTAATAATCTTTTAAGTCCGCCAACGGGTTAAAAAATTCCGCCACATCGATGCATCATCCCTTGTCAACCCTTTGCCTCTGCTCTGTGTCCGTTCTTATGCCAAGCACCCTGTATTTCAAAGTACTTCTAGCTTTTCGAAGTACTGCAACGTATCCAGAGGCTTTCGAAGTACTCCGAAGTTATTTTTAAGTATTTCGAGGAATTTCGAAATGTTTCAATGTAAATCGAGCCGTTTTAAACACTGTATAGCTCGTTGATGAACTATTCTTTAGCTTTTGGGAAGACCGGGTACATTTGCGACGACCAATTCGGCATGAAAGACGCCAACGTCGTCTGTAGAGAGCTTGGGTTTCAACTAGGCGCTGCCGAGATCAAAGGTAACTCGTACTTTGCCGCTGACATTAAGGAGAAGAACACCCTGTACATGATAGACGACCTGGACTGCCTCGGCAATGAGACCACCCTGATCGATTGCAGCTTTCCGGGATGGGGAGTCCACAACTGCAGGAATCAAGAGGTAAGCGTGGGGGCCTTTCGATTAGTGCTGTTTTCTACCACAATCTTCCTAGATTGCAGGGGTTGTCTGTAAAACGCCTCAAGAGAAATGCGGCAAAGATTCTTGGAAGTGCGACAGCGGCAACGAGTGCATACCTTATTCTTTCGTCTGTGATGGACTCTACGACTGCACGGACGACACTGACGAAGCAACTCACCACTGCGAGGTACGTAAAAATCAAGGACGCCGACACATAACGCTAAAGAACTCCTCATTCCAGGCACCTACGCAGCTTAGACTGACCAACGGCACCAGCGACATGGAAGGGCGGCTAGAGATCAAACACCACGGCATCTGGGGAACGATCTGCGACGACGACTTCAACGAAGACGCCGCTAAAATAGTCTGCAAGCATTTCGGATTCAAGGGCGCCGTCGTCGTGAAGAAAGAAGGCTTCTTCGGGCCAGGTAAGTCGAAGTTTTTCACTGCAATAGCCACCTCGATTCCCTGATTTGAACCCTATCGCCAGGTGAGGGTCCCATTTGGCTGGATCAGGTCTCTTGCTACGGAAACGAAACCGAGCTACGCCACTGTACTCACTGGAACTGGGGCGAGCACAACTGCGACCACACGGAGGACGTGGGGATCATCTGCAGCAACCAGGTGGAAGCAGAGCCGCTCCAACGGCATTCCAAAATCAACGTCGGGTACAAGAGCAGCGTGAGATTACCGGAAAACACCTGCGGGTTCAGGAAAGACAATCAGTTCCTGTTGGACGATTTGATTCACACCAGAGTGGTTTCTGGGTCTGTGGCTAGGAAGGGGGACTACCCCTGGCAGGTAAGCTTCGGGAAAACCTGGGGGAGCGTGTTCTTTGTAGAAGGTGTCATCGAGAGTGGGAAAAAAGTGGGCGAAACTTGCTATCAATGTCATTAATGAAGAGAATAAAAAACAGTGGGCCAAGTACAGAACCCAGAGGCACTCCTGACGTTTAGTTAAATATTTCAGATCTGTAATGCGATGAGAATCAAATTTTACTAGTTTTTTTTTCAAAATGTAGTGTTAAAAGCAATGCTCCGCTTTCAATGACACCCAGCGAACGTTTTATTATAAATTTTTTCTGAAGGCTGCCTTGAGGATCAAGGGCAAAGCCCAGCAGTCCCACCACTGGTGCGGGGCGGTCATCCTGGCCAGCCAGTGGGTTCTGACAGCGGCCCACTGCCTCATGGGGTACGCCAAGGGGGCTTACATGATCGTCGCCGGAGAATACAACACCGACGAAGACGAGGGTACCGAGCAGACCAAATACATCGAAGAATACTTCATCCACGAGAACTTCACCGAAGGTGAACGGGTGATGAGGAACGACATAGCCTTGGTTAAGGTGAAGGGCGTTGGGTTTTCCTTGAACGAGGACATTCAACCTATTTGTCTTCCGGAAGAGGACGTTGACTACGAGAGGGACCTCAACTGCACCATCTCGGGTTTCGGCTCGGTTAAAACCGGAAATTCCGGTAAGTTATAAGGTTTATTAGTAGTTTGCAGTGGCGGCTCGTGGGACCACAAACTGGGAAGTCAATTTATAATTTTTTTTATATGTTATTGAATTTAGTTTAATATACTTTTGATGGTATACTTTAATTCGGTTTTAACTAATTTGTTGATGTGTGTGCACTGAAAAAAACATCATTTTAATGCTAAATAACGTAATATATTACCAGTGGCGGCGCGTGAACATTGATTGAATGTGTTCTGCTTAGGGGATATTAAGTGCTTGGAGTGTCTAAATGGCGCCGCAGGCGAAAAATTTTAAAATTTTCAAGGTCATGCGTTTTCTTGGCATTTCTGATTTTCAAGGAACAATGAATTTATAAAAAAAATACAGATTTTCACAAGAATGATTTTTGAAATTGATACCTTTTTGAAATATCCATTTACGAATTACCTACTGATGGTATAATAATTTGGAATAAACTAAATATATTTTATTAAATTATTGAATATTGTTTATAAAAAAAAATCGTTTGTGAAATTTACCAACGATTCAACGAATTTTAATTTTCCTCGGCGTGTTATGATTTTTTCTTTATCTTTTTTTATATATATGTACATTATATTATATTCCGGGAGTTATACGTGCAAATCCGAAATCCGGGACCATACAGCTAATTCCCGGTACAATCACAGAAAATCCCGGTCATACCAATGTGGCTAGATGTTCTTTTAAAATGTCGTCAAGATCTACACTAAAATTTATGAGTCCACGAAACACATCAGGGTTGTCCGAATTTTCTGTCTCGTCGTGTCCGAGAAGTGCTAATTCGAAAGCTCCG